GTAAAAAAAACCAAACCAGTGGGGACCACGTGTGTTCTCTGGAAATTTGATTTGCTTGACTTGTCTGTTATGTGTGTGTGTGTATATATATGCACACACACATTAACTCCGACCTGATAGGGCTGTGTTGTCTGATTTTTGCTGATGGAAGAGTCTTTCTAATCCTTTTGATTTGCTTCCTTGTTTTATGGAAGTTTGAGTTCTGTGTGCAAAGTCACATATGCCAGTATAAATTACTGATTATTCCACTGAATTTGGTAAAAGGATTATTACTGTAAAGCAAGAAAATAAACTAACTGGAAAAAAAACAAACTTACTGGGGTTGTTGTCTGTAACATTTCATTTACATAGTCACTTGTGGGAAGAGGAAGGGTTGAGATGGGAGAGGTTTTAAGATCTCAACGGCTGTTTTAAAGTGCTGTCATGGAAGTTAAAGCAGGATTCATCTACGTAGACATGCTGGAATTCTATGTAGACTACATAGTCTACGTAGACATGCTGGAATCAACAGGATGGCTCAGGAGATTTTTCTTCAGAAGCAGATGTTGAATACAGCTGCATTGGCTGGGTCACTGCCTAAAGGTATTCTCCATCCTGCATGATGGCTCTTAATCACAGGTCTCTTCTTCCAGCAGTTATGAAAGACTCTTAGAGCAGTTTTGGGGTGCTGTGCCCAAAAATGGAGAGAAGAAACCTCAACTGATGCATGTTAACACAGAATTGCTTGTTGGGCTTCGTGCACTGTAGTTCCCAGAGCACTGGCTTGCTCCTTACGTGAGCTGTGGTGATGCACGTTTGTCACTCCTTGCTTAGCAGCCTGATCAATGCACTCTCAGGAAAGGTGGTTGTTTTTCCTCCTCATCTTAGCTCATGCAGTTTGTCCCCTGAGCCTATTTGGAAGATACGCCTGCAAACCTGGCCCAGTTACACAAGTGTTTGCAAAAAGTCTATCGCAGTTGCGTGCTCCTAAATGTAGATGCATGATCCTAAATGGCTACTTTTTGACTAACCCTCTGTGACACATCCTAATCTGAGCAGAAAAATTCTGTAAGAGTAGGGGCTTATGTGTCTGAAGTGTCACCAAAATTCAGCTATTCTTTTGCATAACTCCTGAATAGGGATCCCATTTCCAGGGCAGCTCTGTGTGCACCAGGTCATATGTCCTACAGCAACTACAACAAAACTAAGGCTGAGGTTGAGATGATCTGAGGAAACCTGTACTATTTCAACGTTCTTTCTTTGCATTTGAATCCATCTTTGCCAAGCCTGCAGGCTGTTTGACTGAGCTATCGGCATGCATACGTTTATATTCTCAGCATTAAAACAATCTCGCTTGCTTTGCTGTTGTTTTTAACACTATCCCAGCCCCGGCCTCTGAAGCTTTTTGAAAATAACATTTACAATAATATTTTTAACAGTTCCGTAGTATACAAAACTCCAGTGCCCTGGCAGGACTCCCGGAAACTTGCTGAAAGTTAATGTGGTCAACTCTTAAAAGGGAGAGATTTTTTCCGCTTGACTCTTGCTTGTTAAACTCTCTGAGCCCAACATGTTGTTCCCTGCTGCTTGAAAAAACAAGGAAAGTCCCAATTTTAGCAATGCTAGTTTGAGTAGCTTTCCAGCTGAGCCATATTTCAGGGGCAACTGTGGCTTTTTTTTATGGTTGTGTGTCCCTACACTTCAAACCAAAGTGTTAAGTGGTGCTCAGGGAGGAATAAGGTGCTGCTTTCCCTGGAAGCCTGGGGATGAGAAACTGTAGAGGGACATATCACTTGCAGTAGTGGCAAGGCATCCGGACCTGGAGGCAGTGTTTTATGTTGGATACTGAGCCTCTGTGGGGTAAGAACAGCCCTTTTGGGGTAAACAATGCTGTAAATCCCATCTCAAATCAATGGCAGGCTGCTGGTGACTCCAGCTTTCACTGCTGGACTGCACTCTTCAAGCTTTCCTAACCCCCATCCTACATCCTTCTTCCCAGTAAGTCTCTTCCAGTCACTTTTTTGTCTTCTGCCACATCCAGGGAAAAATTGCTGCTTTTCATCCTCTCCTCCCGTTTGCTTTCTGCAACTTAGGGATGCACAGAGGATGGAGTCATGTCTAGCAGGGCAGTATGTTGCTGTTGTATCCCTTGAACTCAGTCTTGCCTAATCCCTTCCCAGCCAGGAGTATGGGGTGAAAAACGAAGAACTGGGATTAATTTTTAAAATGGATTAATAACCTTGTACATAGTTCTTGCATGGATATTCCTACTCTGCACTCATGTAGCCTTAATGATGTTGAGCCACTGTGGCTGCAGAGTTGAGTTCAGCTCAGTCAAATCAAAGCTGCTTTTATTCCAGATGAGAGCATCTACGCTGCGCTTTCCTTGCAGGTTGAGTAACCTCCAGCAGACAGAAGCAGCCAAAGTCTCTTGCTTGCAAGATGCAAACCTGGGATGTGAGTTCTGCATCACCCCAGCATCTCTGGGAGCTGAAACTTTGCTGAGCTCTTATTTTCACTACTGGGTAGGAGGCGTTTGTGCATGGCAAGGTTACCAGGGCAGTATTTTGTGGATTGATGATGGAGATTTACAGTAGATTTACAGCAGAGGCTGGTTCTGCCAGCTGTGGGGAGCGGTGGAGTGTGAAGCGGGAGCCCTGTTTCAGATACCCGCTGGGTTGAGTTGTAAAATGCCAACACTTGAAGGCTCTGATGAGGGAGCTTAGTGGGAGGAGAAGGGGGATGCTGCTTTGAAGAGCATCAGAGTAGGAAAAACAACTTTTCCTTTTTTTTTCATCTTATTTTTTCCTTCCCCCCTTGTTTTTTTTTTTTAAAGGAATTAATAAAAGGGCAGAATTTGTACTAGAAACAGGAATTTGTCCTTCTGTAACAGGAAGCTGCTGGTATGTATTTTTGGGAAGCCACGGAAATCAACAGTGTTTGCTGTCCAATTTGAAGGCTGGCTATCCTCAGGATTGAAGGGACCTGCTAAAATAGAAAACCTTTTTTTCTCTCGTGTACCTGTGGAGACTTCCCACTCTGTGTGTGGGGGCCTGCTTTGCTCATGAGAGCTGGCAGCAGGGTCTTGGGGGCTTGCTGTGGCAGAGGTGATGGAGAGGACTGCAGGGCAGGGCTCTGCCGATGGAAAGGTCACCTGTTTTTCCAGGGTTTGTTTGCCATGGTTCCTGTAGGTGCATGCTTTTATAACTAGATATGGATTGCAAAGGTCTGGAAGGTCTCCAAAAAGCCATTAGAAAAGTCTGTTACACTGATGGAAGAGTTAACCTGGGCTAGCCCAGGAATTTAGGGTTAATCCAGGCTATCTGCAGGTGGCCCTTGGTGCAAGCTCTGCACGCAGCTTAATTGCTGGAAGTGTTGCACCAATTTTGAAAGCAAAAGCAGTTGAAGGTTTGGGCTGTTTCCTGCTCTTGTCATAATCAGATGGAATTTTTACACTACTTTTTGGTGTTTTTTCTGCTCTCTCTTGATCTACTTTTGTATAGACCGACCAGTTCCTTCTCAAGGTAGGATTTTAAACTTTTGCAGCCTGTTAGTTACTTCCTTGCCTCCTCCTTTGCCTTGAAAATGGACAGAGCAGAGTCCCGAGCAGCCGTGGGCTCTTAGGCTAAATGGTGGTGTCCTGAGAGGAAGCTGCAGCAGCAAAAGGAACGACGTACTTCAGGGCACATGTCTCTGCCTCTGCTGCTTTCTTATCGCTTTCCCTTCCTGCTCGTCTCTCTCAAAATAGGCTGGATAAATATCCTTCTGCTTGCCAGCACCAAGGCGCCAGAGTTGCATAAAATCACTTTAATCCACGCTTGCGATCATTCCTGGTTCACTTCAGGGTTTTTTAATTGTGTTTAAATTGATTTGACTGAGCTGGGAGATTTTCAAAGTGCCTTTTTCTACTGCTGCTACCCAATCCATGATGTGTAATGCTGCAGAATTCATGCCTGTGTCCTGGCACACACAGCTCTTGCTGACTTTGGGGCAATGCTGCCTGCAGTGACTGCAGGACAGGAGTGTCTTACTCTCTCCGTGCAGGTCAGACGAAGTACATGGGATGTCTCTCCATTTACTTGTACTATCACGCAGGGTTACAGCTGAGAAATCTGGGTGTGTAGCAATCAGCTGAAGTGGACTGGTCTTTGCTGATCACTTCTAACACATTGCATCTTGAGGTGGGTTTTACCTTCTCAGTCTAAGCTGAGGTTTCCCACCAGCGAGCAGGACTTACTCCAGCAGGCTCAGGTTTACACTTTTAAGTTTCTTGGTGAGCAAAAAAACCCCCACACCTTTGCTGGGCACAGAGCTTTGACTAAATGCAGCATGCCAGGTAACTGAACCTCCTTCTGCATTGGTTTTGGGCAAATTGGTGGATAGCAGTGTGTAGCACTTGGCAATGGGCAGGGACTCTAAAGGGCTGTAGAGGCACAGCCTGCCAAGAGGGATGTATGGGGCATATGTTGCTGCTGAGAACTGCCCAGACTGAGGGTGTTTTTTCCCATGCTGTCAGAGGAAGGCTGGTCCAGTATTGAGGAACCTTGGCTGGAATTTAGAAGGCCTAAATTTAGGTTTCTGCTTTGATACAGGCTGCCTCTGGAACTGACTTTTCATGTCCTGCTGTCGGTCTGTTCCCCAAGTGAGTGTTATTTCATAGGAATGTTGCAAAATGTGATGTGTTAAAGACGGTATTGCTTTAAGGTTACATTAAATAATGAAAAAATGTTAAAGGTGTAATGTATTAAAGATGCTCTGCTCTTAAGAAAAGGAGACCTATGGCACAAGTATAAGGTGGTTACTCCAAGATTTTAAAAACAAAAAGGTACCAGGTTTTTAGTCTGTAACCTTTGGGGCATGTAGAGGAGGGCAGACTCCTGGTCTCAGTTCCTAACAAAATGGTTCTCTTCCCTCCAGCCCAGGTGATGGTGGGGAAATGCTTTGTGAAGGGTGGTCCTGTTCAATCTGTCTGACATGTCAAAATTCATCTGTAAACTTTTGTGTATGTTTGTTATTACAGGGTGGATGCTTGAGAGTGGAGGATAAGGTACAAGTGTCTGGGACCGGTGGAATGGAGGCCTGATGTAGATGGAAAGATGGGTAAGAACTGGATTCTCCTGAAGCAATTAATTTTCTGCAGCCTGCTAATTTTGGTCAGGGCTACCAAGCATAACAAGAATGGGAGACATTGCCAAGATGGTCTGGCTGAATATTACATTGCTTTCTATTTTTTTTTACCTTCCAATGGCATCAAAATTGGACAAATTCTTTTCTTCCCCTCAGTGTGATCTGGTGGGTCATGTTCTAGGTGGAGCCTCTTCCCAAGTCTGCCTTGTATCTCTGGGCAGAGCATCTTCTCCCGAGGAAGCTTCTGTTTCAAACAGAGCCTGAGTATACTGCTTTTTTAGTCGGTGACCTGGATTACTTGCACCTTCTCCCTTTTCCGCTGGAATAGTTGTGTATCAGATGCTCTGTAGTGCTGAAGGAGACCTTTTTTTTTAAAGTGGAAATTATTTGTAGCTCTGGAAGTACATAATGATCTTGATCTTATCTCTGCTGCTAAAGAAAACTGGTTACGTCAGGAATTGGGACCGCTTAGAAGTGCTGGACTTGCTCAGTTATAGCACGTGAATAATCAGGTCGGTGGTGGTGTCTTGCAGAAGCTGAGTGTGAGAGACCCAGCCTCCTTCACCTTCCCATGCCATTGGCCGTCAAACTTATCACAGTACTCTTGCAAAATCATACCTGACTTGTAGGAAAATGTCCATGCTCTGCTACTCTGCTTGTAACCTGTCACACAGGCAGCACCCCGCTGGAGGGATTGCCTGGTGTCTCCCCATCCTTGCTAAAGGACTTCACAGGAGATGGATGCCTTACTGACAGCAGCACTGCTGGGTTTGGGATTCAGCCAGTGTTTCGTGCATTTATGAATGTGGCAAAGTATGAGAAAGCTCTTTGCAGAATGGACATTGACCACAAAAACAATTCCAAATTTTGCCAGACAGTAGCAGTTTTGGCAGCTGTGGGGGTTTCTTTTCCTTTTCTTTAATTTTGTTGAAAAGAGAAAGCTTAGCAGATTGAAGCACAAGGCCAGGTTCTATCAAACATGGGTGTCAGTGCTTGATTAACACGTGGAGCTAATTGAGCTTCCTTCACCAGAAGAGGCAGGTTACAGAGGAGCCTAAATTCCTCTCCTGAAATGGCTTCCTGACCTGGTAGCCCAAGAAGGGGAAGAGATCTCAGAGGAGTCCTGGTTGAAGCTGAGCACTTCACCTCTACATATGCAGCGTTTACACGAGTTCACCCAAAACTTTTTTCAGGGCTGGTTGAAATGGTGCTTAAAAAGAAAAAAAAGTTGGTGGGGGGAATACCAGTACATTTAGGGATTGCCCTTGCAAACCTGTAGAGAAATGATTCAGAGTTTGATAGTGGTTTGAATTTGAAAAATGTGAAGCCACTGCCACACCTTAACTGTTTCTGAAGGAGAAAAAACATGGAGAAAGGAGAAAAGCTGTGTTTAGCCAATCCTGGCTTTACCTCTCTTTTGCTCTTTCCCTTTTTAAGAGATCTTTCTGGGGAGAGGACTAATTTAAAGCCAAGTTAAAAAAAAAAAGGGAATAGAAAGTCCAGACCTGCTTTTCTTCAATATAAGGAATGACAAATTTCAGTTTAAAATCCCTGGTGAAAAACCCCAAAATTTTTTAGAGATATTTTCACTTTGAAGGTGAAAGCCACTCCTTTGTCAATGCAATGCTTTGGGTTTTTTCTTTTTAGAAGAAAAGTTCACACTTGCTCTGAGCACCAGTAAGGAATGAGTTGCTGACTCCAATCCAGTTCTCAGCAGATATTTGACTACTTTTGCAGAGGGTGTGGTTGAGACATACTGCTCAAGGTGCTTTCAAACTGTCAGCCGTAAATGTAATACGGAAGCACTTGGGAAGCAGTAATTGTGGGAATACTGTAGTGAAGAGAGCACCACGTGCAAGGCACTGTGACTGTTTTTTGGGAAGGTGAACTGAATTGGTAGGAGTCTTGTGTGGGTTTGCAGTTCTGCTCACACTTGTGGGTGGGTGGGGAGGTACTGTGTGTGTCCCCTTCCCCAAAAGTCATTGCTTTGGAGCATTGCTGTAGCTTGTCACTAAGGTAGCATCATTGCCTGTGTAAGGACTGGTTAGATCTGCCCAGCTGCATTCGGAAAGGATCATGGTGTGGTCCTGACTCTGGTCTCTGGCTTGACTGTTGGGGAGAGATGGGTGAAGTGATGTGTATTTTGATCAGTGTTACTACTGAGTGGTGCTTGTTAGTTAAAGGATTGTTGCAACAGCTTTGCTGACACACAGGAAAGTAGGCTAAATTTTGAGGTTTTATTAGTTTCACTTCCCCTCCTCCTTTTATATGTGTTTGTTTCCTCCACACATTGCGATGGGGGAGTGTTTTCAAGGGCAGAGCAGCAAATTTGCAGTCATGTAATTGATTCGCTTCTGGTAGACCACAGGGGAGGTGTATTGGATGAAGTGATCTCTGAAGGTCTGTTCCAAGTCTACCTGTCTTCTTAGGATCATATTTATAGTCTGCTCAGTGTCTCAGAGTTCAGCATAGGACTGTTGACTCCTGGACATGTTCTAGGGAAGCTGCATGACCTTGTATGGACACCATAAGATGGGAAGTGGTGAATTCTGGCGTCTCCGTGGGCTCCATCTCTGACATAGCAGTTCGGTTGTGTCATGCAGTGCTTGGAGTAGCTCTCTGCAGCTGTGGCATCCTGGTGCTGCAGGTAGGTTGCTCTGCTGTTGCAGGTCCAAGATGGTATCTCTACGTGTTCCAGCTTGGGGCCAGCCTAAGCAGAGGTCCTTGGCTCTGGGTGGCCATATGATGTGGAGATGCAGCCACGACCATGTCGCTTGACATTTATTCTCTTAGTGCTGTCTGTGAAGGATCTGGACATAACTCTGCAGGACAGATGAGGGCTTAATTTCAGAGAGAGGAGCAACTGGATACAGCATAGGATCTTGGGGCAGAATTGTTCTGGCTTTGCTTCACACTTTAGTCTTCAATAAATCACTTGGGCTCCCATTTAGTGTTGTACTGGACAGTTTACTCCAGATGTATAATGGTTGTATTTGTACTGAGGCATTTGACTTTTTATTTGTATGGAAAAGGAAGGTGCTGAGAAATGGCATTGGAGGGATTTCATGATTTCTGGAGGGGTGGTCATGCTGTAGGTGTTCAGTCACTGCTTCAGAAGCTGACCACATGTTTCCTTTGTGGGTCAGGTCTTGGGTTATGGAAGTGGAGTAAGATGGCTGAGCATGGATCTGGGAGAGACATCTTCAGGAAGGCTGGTCTTCAACACACTTCTCTGGATGCTGATCATCCAAAATGGTGCCAGAGCCTTAAGTGGTTGTCTGCTGTCATTTTGGTACTGTAATTCCTGTTAATTGGATGAATAATGAACTCATTTTTAACATGGTTGTTGGGTAGCCATTCTTCTCAGGCCTCAAGGAATTCAAGTGACATGTTCCTCTTGCATTGGTTTTCTCAGCCTTGATAATGGGAGAAAAATTGGAGTGGAGAACATGTGTGCTAAACCAGAAGGTCCCACCTCTCACTCCTAGCTCAGAGCAATTCCTCCAGCTCGCAATCCATTTCCATCTGCCACCTCTCCGTGAGAGTCCAAGACCTCTTTATAGTTTGATCAAAATGTAGCTGTGACCAGCGAGTGCATAGACACTTCTAAAAATGTCCATGTCTCCAATACAACACAATTGGCAGGACCATGTTCAATGCTGAAGGTTGCCATGTTTAAATATGACACTACAATTAATATTAAAAACCTGCAGAAGTTGGTTTAAAAAGCACCACCATGTTTATTGCCTAACTTTTTTCTTCTTGCTTAAAAATTATTTAAGTATTCTTAAATGTCATGTGCATGCATGTGTATTTCTGATGGTAAAAACCTCCAGGAACGCTTATCTGGTCCGTTCAGCGTATGTACGTGTAACTCAAAGGTTTAGGTCTTTGGTACTTTTCTGCAGCAAGTGTGACTTTTGTTTCAGCAGAAGGGTAATCTGAGGTGCGGGAGATGGGAGAATGATGCTTATTTACAGTATTGCCTTGACAGAATGGGTGTGTTTGGAGAAGGCTGCAGGCTAGGCTGGCAGAAGGGCAGCAGCTTCCTGAAGGAGGAGGGGATGTTTTTGCACAGCCATGGTCTGGCTATTTAACCCACTTTTGTGGGTTTTGGGGGACTATTGAGATGGAGAAATCTGCCCCAGTTGGTAAGGGGAGAACAGACTGGCTCTCCCTGTCCCCATGCATGCAGGCATTGATGTCTTGGTTCTCCCATGCCTTGTTTGAATGCGGAAAATTCCTTGAGGAATGAGGAAAATTCCTCCACCTAAGGCAATGGTTTGGCTCTTCACTTGCTCTTTGCTCTTCACTTGTTCTCAGTATGCTGAGAGCTATTAAAAAAAAAAATCAGGTTGAATTACAGCGGTTTATCTTATAAGGTGGCACATCAAGCTTTCTAGCTCAGGTTTTGTTATTTTTGAAGTGTCCGTGTCTGTTTCCCTTTCCTGGTACTGTGCCCATTGCACCCAGGGCTCCTGTTTAGGGTCACACCAGGTACTTTGGGCACCTGGGGAATGTGGGACCGGACCTGCATCCCTGTATTTAAGACGTTGCAGCCGTTGCTGCAGCAACAGATCAGGAGTTCACAGGCTCTGGGCTGTGGCTTTGAGCATTGGAAGTAGCTGGGCTGGGAGGGAGAAAGAGGTCTTTATGAGCCCACAAATAACCTTCAAAGGTATCGGAGGCAGTCAGGGGAAATAACTTGCCAGCTATGTTTCTCTCTGGGTAAACATTTTTCTTTCAAGTGTGCTTGAGAGAGGGACGGATTGTGTGGAGAGGTAGTATCTCTTACTAGACCAGACTGATAGAGGTAGGAAAAAACCAAGCTGCCTTTCAGGCACATAAGCTCTTCAGAAGGAGAAAATCTTAATCTTAGCAGGAAAACAGGCTGGAAAAATTGCCCCAGTTTAATTTAATTATGTTAATCCATTAAAAGAAAAGGTAACTAATGTCTGTGGAGCAAAGGGCAG